CTGTGTGGTTCAACACCACACTGCAGTTATAGTCAACCTAAAAGAGAACCAATGAGATTGGCTTAGTGTGGTCATTTAAGTAAGGAAGCTGCTTGCAGAGGTTTCACAATTTTGAAGACATCACAACAACGTTTGCACAGTCAGACTGCACTGAAAATATCTGAATGTCATCATTACACGTAAAATATTCAAATGCACGAGCTCAAATGCTGCAGGGTAAGCTATTTTCCTACACTAACTTTACTTTTTTGTCATTTTTGAATTAGATTAGATCTCAAAGCAAGTGTCAAACAAATGCTGCTGCGTCTTTTCTCAGAACTATTTTGGTCAGTATCTTTTAGTTGTTTTGGTGGATGTATGAAGTTAGAAGTGGGTTGTATTTCATCATATTAATAAGCAGGTTCCACTGGCATTTCACAACCAGAAAGTGTACAAATACATTTTGATGAACAGCGTATCTATTGTTTTATCATTTAAAGAACAAACTTTACCTTGTCATTTACCTTGGAAAATGTGCTTTTTGTGCAGAATAAATACCACATGGTGTGAGATCTTGTTATCTAATGCAATGATAGTGACATTTTTTGAATGTGACTTAAATATATATATAAATATACTTCCTAGGCCACTGTACATTATGTAGATTATAGAGAGGAACGTGCAGATAAGCACAGTAAAACATGCAGCAAGAAAAGAAAAAACCCCACTGTGGTTTGAAATCAGTATTTTTAAATGCGTAGATGAGGACAGGAAGTGTAGCATTTTGAGGTTATAGGCAATGCTTTTACAAGCAATAGGTTTGTAATGAATAATAAGTTGATTCACCAAAGAAAATTGCTAAAGTTGTTTATTATAAAATGTTGTGACTTAAAATTATTAGGTAATGCCTTTTAGATATGTAATCTTCTGCTTTAAAGCTCTAAATACAAAATCATGTTCAAGATTTTTTATGATCTCATATCTTTAATAATAAAAACTGGCAGTATATTCCTGATACAGTGTGTATGATTACAGATAATTTATTCGTAGAGAATTTGTTATATGATTTAGTATTTGCTCTTTCTATTAATTAGCACTTTATTTTATTAATATTGTACTTTAGCCCTTTTTTATTATTGTAAAGCACTTTGGTAAATTCTGATTTGCTATATAAATAAATTTGGCATTAAAATTACCATGAATGTGAATTATATGTAATTAACAATAATACCAGCTATAGATGTTTTCAATAATTATGGTGAAGTTAATCAACATGACTTCTGTAAACTCTTCTGTAATCCCTTGAATTTAAATTCTTTCACTTAAAAACCATAAGTTGTCATGTTAATAAAACAAGCTTGACTGCTACTTTAATAATTTGTCTTTCTTTTGTTTTACTTTCAGTTACATTTCTTTGATTGACAACAAGAACGACTCACCATGATTTATAGCTTGTTCTTCTCTCAAAAAAGCCTGTGAGTCTGTCAGCACCGCTGTTCTCGATGCTGTGACAAGTGCTGCGTTTTAAAGAACTGAAATGAGTTGGCTGTCTGTTGCATGAGCTGTCAGCCTGACTATTTCCTCTGCTGATGCTGAATCAATGATCTGCATTTTTGAAGGAATCTAGTGAGTCAATGATTAAATGACCCATTCATAAAGACAGTCACTTGCTTCGTTCCTGAATGAATCAGCCGTTTGAACGAATCATTTGAAAAATTTTTATTGTGAAATGTACATACATGGGGGGAAAAAAAGAGTGGCGCTTTCTCATTTAAAACACCATGGCATGATGGTTGATTTAGTGTTGTGGTTGCGAGGGTGTGCAGAGTGTTTTGTGTGTGTGTGTGTGTGTGTGTGTGTGTGTGTGTGTGTGTGTGTGTGTATATATATATATATATATATATATATATATATATAGCCAAGGGATCATTTCTCATTTTCATTTAGTTTAACTTGCTGGATACAATACAATAACTAGATTCAACAATATACTACAACAATATAGGCTACAACAATAACTAAAACTAAAACTGAAATAAAAAATAATAAAAAAAAAAAACTATATAGACATATTTTTTAAAAAATGACAAAGCACGCAGTAAAATAGTAAAACTTTAACTGAAATTAAAATCAAAACAGAAAATATAAAAATAAAACCAAATTCAAAATATTAAAGCTGCAGTCCGTAAGTTATGCTTCTTTGTCACCATCTCTGCTTGAAATCTGCAATTGCAGTTATTTGCGGAATAATAATAGAAATCTAATCCATAAAGAGAACTAATCCATACATATGTGGTTTAGTCCAAATTTTCTGTTTTTCTGTTTATGTTCCCTGATCAATGTTTAAATGTGAAAAATAAAAAATTCAATCTGTTGATTGTATAAAGCCATCAAGTCTCTTCAGAAAATTTGGACTAAACCGCTCAATACATTTGAATTAGTTTTATGATCTCTTTATGAACTTCTTGAAGTATCAAAGTGGTAGTTGTGTAGACTGTCGATGGAAGGACAGAAATCTCTCAGGTTTCATTTAAAATATCTTCTCTTGTGTTTAGAAAATGAATAAAAGTCTTGCAGGTTTGGAATGACAGAGAGTGAGAAATTATGACAATATTTAATTTTTGGGTCAACTAACCATTTATCTTTTTGCAGTTTGATATCTTAAATTAATAATTAGTAAATTCCAGGTGTGAACATAAGCAGATATTGTGTGGCTGCCCAGTTAAACTTTAATTTTTCATATTCATTTGTGTGTTTTAAATTTGTACTGCACATAGAATAACATATAAATGACACAGACTCACAATTCTGGCTTCTTCTTCAGCATTCTGCTTCCATCACTCACACTGTGTCATCAGACTCCCAGTTTGCAATCTTATGAGAGGAGCTTCCTTCACTTGACACGGCAGAAGTCTGGGCCAATTCTATTGAAAAAGGATTAAAAAAAACAAATTTTCTGAAGAGACTTGATTGGACCGTCATTCAAGGGACAGAAATCTTATATTCTATTAAAATATCTTCAATTGTGTTTCAAAGATAATGAAAGTCTTGGCTGCGCAAACGATGGAATTTTCATTTTTGAACTAACCCTGTAAAAAAAGAATGTGGCCATATGCGTCTGGTGTCTGTTCACTTGTGCATCACCCAAGATGCATGATAATGCCAGGTGTGAACAGAGCCACTGTGTGACTACACAATCAACTTAGCAGAATGGTTCCTGAGAGAGATATTGTTGTGATTCATTTTTTTTTTCTTCCAAGAAGCCAAGTTCCTTACTTCTCCCAAGACTTTTAAGGACATGACTGACCTCGGAATCAGCTGTAAAGGAGGATGAAACAGATGTTTAAGGTTAGACTCTATTTCAGAATAAGATTATCTATATTCATGCATTATCTATATTCTGTATTAATGCATTTTTTGCCGAAGTTGTCATATCTGTTATTTAGAATGGGACAGCGATATTGCATCAATTTGTCTCCTACTACATTTGATTACACCATCACCACAAGGCTGCAAGGGACCTGGAAACATGTCCTCCTATCAAGCTGAAAAACATCTTCAAAAAGGTACATTTGGACATTTCTGTCACTACCTATTGTCTGCCTCAAAATATTGCCAGATGGGTTGTACTGTATATGAAAGACTAATGTAAATAAAATCAGTTGGAGAGCTGACCTTGAGTGTTATTTTTGTCTTTGATCTGCAGGCACTAACAAAAAGAATACCTTGAAGAGATGACCTCGGAATCAGCTGTAAAGGAGGATGAAACCGATGTTTAAGGTTAGACTATATTTCAGAATAAGATTATCTATATTAATGCTTTATCTATATTCTGTGTTCATGCATTTTTTTGCTAAAGTTGTCATATCTGTTATTTAGAATGGGACAGCGATATTGCATCAATTGGTCTCCTACTTCATTTGATTCCACCATCACCACAAGGCTGCAAGGGACCTGGAAAAATGTCGTCCTATCAAGCTGAAAAACATCTTCAAAAAGGTACATTTGGACATTTCTGTCACTACCTATTGTCTGCCTCAAAATATTGCCAGATGTGTTGTATATGAAAGACTAACATAAGATCAGTTGGAGAGCTGACCTTGAGTGTTATTTTTGTCTTTGATCTGCAGGCACTAACAAAAAGAATACCTTGAAGAGACATACCTGCTCGCTGATGGGACAAAGAGGAACATCATTCATGGATGCTACACAACTGTCGACAAGTATCTTGCTGCAATCTTGTTCAAATCTACCTGTCATATTTGTTCATGTCTAGGTAAATTTGATGATTTTGTGTTTTATTAACTATTTTATGTTTCTGTGCAACACTTAATGAATGTGACTGACTAATTAACCTCTACACATCTGGTATATGCTACAGGGTGACGCGGAGAAGACGAATTGTTGAGTAAAGTCTTTTTTTTTCTTTTTTCTTTCTTTTTTTTTTGCGCACAAAAAGTATTCTCGAAGCTTCGTAAAATTACTGTTGAACCCCTGATGTCACATGGATTATTTTACAGATCTCCTTGCTACGTTTCTGGACTTGGGAACATTTCTGTTGTATTGCTGTCTATGCAGGGTCAGACAGCTCTCAGATTCCATCAAAAATATCTTAATATGTGTTCCGAAGATGAACGAAGGTCTTACGCGTTTGAAACGACATGAGGGTGAGTAATTAATGACAGAATTTTCATTTTTGGGTGAACTAACCCTTTAAACACAATACAACTTCGTGTCTTTTTTTCTACTGTTTTTTTTTCTATTCCCTCTCTCACACTCTGTTTTCTTTCTTTATTTGTTCGTGTGCCACATTCTAGTCTGAATGTAGCGAATCAGAGCAATGTTTTCTTTTTATTGTATCTCAAAATTGCTTTTCTTCGCATCTTTAGAAAAGTGCTTGGGGAAAAAAGTGGCCAATAATTACAACACTGTCCAGGGTCAGAGTCTGGGGTCTCTGTGATTCGAAAGAGGGTGAAAATGGATGACCGATTTCTCTCTTTCAGGAATGGTCTGTACTGAACGGCTGTGGCATCTTTTTTCTATGATGGAACATCTAAAGTAGGTCAGCTGAACACTTCTGAAGGAAAATCAGGTAGGCTATATAAACCTGCATATATCAAATCAATCAAAATATTCGATCAAACTTTACTGCTTTTTGAGGCATATTGCAGACAAATATATTATATTTGCATTAATATAAGCATTCATTTTGCACTCAGCTCACAAGTAACTTTATTGACCCACCAAAGCCAATCTTTAACTTTTTTTTTATTTTATTTTATTTTAGTTATTATTATATTTGTTACTCTTCCTGGTACTAATCCAGCAATATTTATTTATTTATCATATATATATATATATATATATATATATATATATACACTGGCGCTCCATAGAGAAGGATTTCAGACACATATAAAGACATCCGCTCTGACCCAGGACGGGTTTGTGCGATAAGCATTTATAGTACGTTTTTTCAGACACATCTCTTCCTCTACAGGTTCCTTTTTACACGAGTGTGTCATTTAGTCTATTTGTGTGTGTGTGTGTGTGTGTGGGGTGGGGGGAGGGGGGGTTGTTTGGGTTTTTTTTTTGCATCTAATCTGCTGGTATCTACTTATTGGGATTTTTTGATGAACTTGCACACTAATTTTAAGATGCTTATAGCGTTTTGAAAAACATATTTTATCATGACTTCTCAAAGCGCTCTCACATTACATTCACACATTGTGCTAATGAATCTGTGAATATTTGCTGCTGTTCATCATGTTTACTCATCACCAAAAACAGAAATTACCAGTTTATGAAAATGCGCATCATTTTTTGACTGCCCATTGATTTACCTGTTGAACAGGTTTCACTTTGTTTTCCCAATAAGAATGCTGTCTGCCTGTCTGTCTGTCTATCTATCTATATATTATCATCTATTCTGTCTATCAATCTATCTGTCTGTATGTCTGTCTGTCTTTCATTCTGTCTATCTTTCTATCTATCCATCTATCATTCTGTCTGTTCTATTGTTCTATCTTTCTATCTGTTGTTCCATATATTGTTGTGTATATTGTATCTGTCTGTCTATCACTTCTGTCTATCTATCTATTGTTCTGTCTTTATCTACAGGTGCATCTCAATAAAGTAGAATGTCATGGAAAAGATGAGATTGGTGGGTTTTTGTTAAATGTGAGCCAAAATCATCACAATTAAAAGAACCAAAGACTTAAGCTACTTCAGTCTGTGTGCATTGAATTTATTTAATACACGAGTTTCACAATTTGAGTTGAATTACTGAAATAAATGAACTTTTCCACGACATTCTAATTTATTGAGATGCACCTGTATATCTGTCTGTCTTTCTGTTCATCCATTCTGTTCACCCTCATATGGTCATTTGTGGTTTAATTTCCTGCTAATATGCTATAAATGTTTTCTCTCTCTCCCTCTCTCTCCAGTGTGAAGCACAGCGTGCTCGCTATCAGAAACTGTTGGGCGATTTCCATATATGCTGTGTGCTGGCGTGGCCCTGCTGCATGCGCCGCTCGCTGTGAATACTGATTTGGAATCCTACATCAGCTGAAGTGCGGTATGAATATGCTAAGCTAGCACTAATACCTCAGAGAGCTGTTACATAAGCCCTGACCACCGGGACGCATTAGATCTCTCTGTTTCTCCCTCTCTCTTTTATAGAATTCACCGATTCTCTGGAATCTGATAGTGGGAGGAGAATTAAATGAAACTGTGTAACCTCTAAACGACCCCTGAGGTTTGAGAAGTCTCAAGGCGAGAGCGAATGAGAAAGAGGAAACATTGAAAGTGGGAGTGTCTTGTTTAACTGAAAGTGAGAATGATGGTATTAAAAGGAAGTAGAACAATTGTAGCCATGGAGACCAGCTCGAAGGATGGGGTGCTATTGTTTGAAAGAAGGACATGGAGGGAACAAAAGGTGAGAGAGAGAGCAGCAAAAAATATAGAAAATAGTATCAGAGTGACAGAAACTAGTTGTGTTTAATTGAGATAAACGATAGAATAGAGATGTGGGGTGTTTCTCTTTCTTTTTTCTTTCTCTCTCTCTCTCTCTCTCTTTCTTTCTGTCTATTTTATTAGTAATTTAGAGAGTCTCTAAGCAGGCATGGTGATGGATTAATAACACTTTTTTTTTGTGTTCCCCTGAGAAACTTTGCATTCACTCACAAGAAGAATAGTTTTTCCTCCCACCTCACATTGTTTCCATCACTAGTTTAGCAAACAAACACAAAAAAATTGTGGGGGAAAAGAAACACAAAAGCATTGAAATAATTGTTTTTTTTTCTTATCTCATATCCTTTTTCCTTAATTTCAATCCCACACTATTTGTGCTGAAATAGAAAAAAAAAACATTTTCACTCACAAATTGCTAGTAAATTTCACAAATAATTACAAAGAAATGGCAGATAACACATTGAATTAAACATGAAATTTTGAAGAAGAGAGACTGAAGTAGTATTTTCTTCAATTTCAATTTATGTATATACAACTTCAATTTTTTTTTTACAGTTTACAGACATAAAATATAACTAAAATAATTGAGGATCATGAAATCATGTGCTATTACTTTTGTTATTGACCAAACTTACAGTTTTTAATCTAGCACACTCTTAAAAATAAAGGTTATTTATTGGCATCTTTGGTTCCTTGAAAAATCTTTAACATCCATGGAATCTTTCCATTTCACAAAAGGTTCTTTAGTGGAAAAAGGTTCTTTAGATTATTAAAACTAAGAAAAAAATGGACATGTTCATTGAAAGTTTCTTTAGGAAACCCAAAAGGGTTCTTCTATGGCATCACTGCCAAACACCCCCTTTTGGTTTTTTTTTTAAGAGTGTAGGTCATAAAACGGGTTGGAAAATCCCACAGGCATCAGATCTGAGACATAACTTAGGATAGACATCATAGAGACTTGGAGATGGACACTTTTGACCACCTAACAAGCTCTAACAACAATTTAGAGCACCTTAGTTTAAAAAAAAAGAAACAAATTCAATTTCAGCTGTAAAGCAGCTCTACAGAAGATTCTGCTCAGTGGTGTTTCAGTTCTGTTCAATAACTGTGTCAGTGTTGCTATGTTCATCAATGTAATCTGATTACGTAACTCGCATTACTTGTAATGAGTTACCCCCAACACTGGTCATAACAAAACATGCAAGTTAAAATACAGCTGTGACTTGCTCTCAGTGAGGTTTAGGTGTTAGTCAACTCTGTTATCTGTATCTCTGAGCTCTTTAGAAAATGGAAGAATACGAGAGCTGTGTGTATGCGTGCTTTAGCGTGTACACTAACAAGGAGGCGAGTGGGTGTTGCTGCTAATCAGCCTGTCCCTGCCGCTATATGGGTCAGCTTCACATGGCACGGCATGCTGGCTGACTCAACGCTGGTAAACAGGCTTGCTTGCTCACCCGTTTCCACAGCAACTATGTCCCTGCCCTTTCTACATGTTCTCAATGGCTCCGCAAGCATCTGCTTCCTCTCACCGCCAGAACATTTGCAGGGAAATTTGCCTCACAAATCAGAGAGATATCACTAGTGTCCGCTTTTGTTTGCCAACTTGTTGGCGACATGCAATACGTGTGGTGATGTTTTTTTTCCAAATGGGTCAAAACTCTAACATTCTGCTTGTTTTTCTCTTCATATGGGTGTGACTGTAATTGCTGACGTTCAAATTCCTGTCATTTAGTATTTTTTAAGCATGCATATTGTTCTCTGTGAAGGTAGAAGAAATGCAGATGTTGTTGTCAAATGCTTATTTGACCAAATCCACACGTGCCAGTCATACTATAGATATTCTATAACAATGCAATCTCGTTTGGAAGTTTCCCTTGTATTACATCAAGTTCTGTTGAAGAATGCAATAGCCAAGTGAAGATAGAAATGTGATTTGTCCCTCCTCATTTCACTTTAAAACTGCAGGTGTTGATGTTTTCTCACTGTTTGTTTCTTGAGGTAAAGGACAGATCGTTCTTTGATGGTCAAACTAGCTTTTGTGAAATGGGTTTGGCTGTAGTTGGCAGGTTGGTTCATGCCCGCAGATAACAATTGCATCATGTTCCTGATATTTAACAAGTGTGAAGTCTGAATCAATATGTGGAGTTATGTTTAAAAAGCTTTTCCACAAAGGTGTGTCGAAGCTACGTTACTATGACTTTGTGTATGGACTAGTGTTGCTGTTGTTGGCTAAAACTAAAACGATTAAAAATAGTTTTCCTCTATTGAAATAAAGCTGAAATAAAATACAAAAAAAGGTTTTAGGTTGAAATTAGGTTTACAAAGTTGTATAGAGTTGAAAAATATAAAAAGAACTAAGAAAAAGTACATTAAAATGACTAAAACGCTAAAATTAAAATGAAAACTAAATAAGCTAAGGTAAACTAAAAAAAACTAAATTAAACTAAAAACGAAATAAATAAATATTAAATATTTTAAATATTATTATTAATTTTAAATATTATAATAGTATATAAATAATACTAAAATATCACCGGTATGGATAGAAATTGCCATTTTTGCAGATTTCTTATGCCATTTTTCCTTTCTGATTTATAATAATAATAATAATGATCATCATTTTGGTGGTTGCTAGGGCATTTGGGTGGTTTCCAGGGTGTTGCAATGCAGTTGCTAAGGTATTTTGAATGGTTTTTCTGTTGGCAATGGTATTTCTATGCAATCGATAGAATATTTGATTTACTATGGCATTTTGGGTGGTTTTAACATGGCTCAGGTGCAATCAGATTGAGCCTGTTTTTTTTTTCTTTTTTTTTTTAATTACCCACCCGGCAATTATTGTAAGTCTGATCACTTAAAAAAGTAACTGGGATTGAGAAACCATGAGAACCAGACTTAAACTAACTTGAATTCACATGCGCATAGCTCAAAGTATCAGAGTAAGGATTCTACCACTAAGCCACATCTTGAAATGCATACAAAGCTACTAAGTGTATATAATTGTGATTCCTGGCCAAGTATGATGAAAGATACTAGGAAATATCTTTAACATCTACAGAATACCTTTAAATAAGGAATAGATTCTGACAAAGATATCTAAAATTGTGCATTGCATGTGGCCCAAGAGACAAAGTGGATGAGTGCTGAGGGAGAATGAGGAAGAGAGGAATAAAGAAAAGGACAGAGAAGAACAGGACAAGAGAGAATGAAAGGTGAGAAGAATGAGGAGGGAGGAGAGAACACAAGGTGAGGGAGTATGTTTTCACTGACACGGTGACCTGGTAGCGTGTTGCCTGGAGTCCAATCAGATAAACAGCCTCAAACCAGCAGAGATTAGAGAGTTTTTGAAATCGAAGAAAAGCAAGGGATTAGAGGGAGGGATAGAGGGGGGCAGGAGGGGAGCGGGATTATGGCGCCATGCGAAGACAGGATCAAACATAATCCCTGTGAACACTCAAACCTCCATCTTGGTTACTGGGAGAGCGAGAGTGAGGATTTACCCATCAGTCACCTCATCAGTACATCGTTCCCCAGTACAATGAGTTTATGATCAGTCTGTTCACTCTATTCATCAACGGCTCTGTTGCAATGTGTGTGGGGTTTTTTTCTAACGCATTAGTATTATTTGTCAAACATTCTCAGAAAAAAATAAAAGGTACAAGAGTTGTCACTGTAGCGGTACCTTAAAAATGTACACTTTGTATCTAATTTACCCCTAAAGTGTTCATATTGGTACTTTAAAGGTACATATTATTACCTAAAGTGTACATATTTGTTCATAAATGGTACATATTAGTATACGTTCTTAAAAGGTACCACCCCAGTGTTGTACCTTTTTTTCTGAGAGTGTACGATTACATTATTATACTAGATTTTTCTTTAGAAAATGTGAGTAGTTAAGCATGTAAAACTTGACTTGATTGACTTGATACCAGCATGGTGCCAAATGGTTGCTAAGGTGTCCTGGGTGGTTTCTAGGTTGTGGCTATGATGTTCTGGATCGTTGCTATATTCCCAGAAATAAAGGTACAAAAGCTGTCACTGGGGCAGAACCTTTTTAAAAGGTGCTAATACTGTATGTAGGCTACCATTTAGGTGCTAATATGTACACTTTAGATACTACTTTGTATGTTTAAGGTACTAATGTTTTATGTTTAAGGTACCCTTTTGGGGAAAATAATGTGTACCTTTTGAAGGCTTTTGTACCTTTTTTTCTCTCTGAGAGTGTATGTGATTGGTTACGGGCTCAAGTCAAACCATTCCACCTCCACATATCTATGATATTTCGGTTCCTAAATGTGGGGTTCCTCACGTAAGCTATGATTTGAGGTTTCATTCATGTTCAAATCACAAATGGTGCTGGACGAGTTTAATATTTTTGATAGTCTTTACCTTTTTTTCTGAGAGTGTGTGTGGGGTTCCTCACGTAAGCTATGATTTGAGGTTTCATTCATGTCCAAATCACAAATGGTGCTGGACGAGTTTAATATTTTTGATAGTCTTTACCTTTTTTTCTGAGAGTGTGCAATTACATTATTATACTAGATTTTTCTTTAGAAAATGGAAAACAAAGTAACTGGCATTACTTTTTTGAAAAAGTAACTCAGATATTTTCTTGTAAATTAAAACAGTAATGCGTTACTTTACTAGTTACTTGAAAAAAGTAATCTGATTACGTAACTCGCATTACTTGTAATGAGTTACCCCCAACACTGGTCATAACAAAACATGCAAGTTAAAATACAGCTGTGACTTGCTCTCAGTGAGGTTTAGGTGTTAGTCAACTCTGTTATCTGTATCTCTGAGCTCTTTAGAAAATGGAAGAATACGAGAGCTGTGTGTATGCGTGCTTTAGCGTGTACACTAACAAGGAGGCGAGTGGGTGTTGCTGCTAATCAGCCTGTCCCTGCCGCTATATGGGTCAGCTTCACATGGCACGGCATGCTGGCTGACTCAACGCTGGTAAACAGGCTTGCTTGCTCACCCGTTTCCACAGCAACTATGTCCCTGCCCTTTCTACATGTTCTCAATGGCTCCGCAAGCATCTGCTTCCTCTCACCGCCAGAACATTTGCAGGGAAATTTGCCTCACAAATCAGAGAGATATCACTAGTGTCCGCTTTTGTTTGCCAACTTGTTGGCGACATGCAATACGTGTGGTGATGTTTTTTTTCCAAATGGGTCAAAACTCTAACATTCTGCTTGTTTTTCTCTTCATATGGGTGTGACTGTAATTGCTGACGTTCAAATTCCTGTCATTTAGTATTTTTTAAGCATGCATATTGTTCTCTGTGAAGGTAGAAGAAATGCAGATGTTGTTGTCAAATGCTTATTTGACCAAATCCACACGTGCCAGTCATACTATAGATATTCTATAACAATGCAATCTCGTTTGGAAGTTTCCCTTGTATTACATCAAGTTCTGTTGAAGAATGCAATAGCCAAGTGAAGATAGAAATGTGATTTGTCCCTCCTCATTTCACTTTAAAACTGCAGGTGTTGATGTTTTCTCACTGTTTGTTTCTTGAGGTAAAGGACAGATCGTTCTTTGATGGTCAAACTAGCTTTTGTGAAATGGGTTTGGCTGTAGTTGGCAGGTTGGTTCATGCCCGCAGATAACAATTGCATCATGTTCCTGATATTTAACAAGTGTGAAGTCTGAATCAATATGTGGAGTTATGTTTAAAAAGCTTTTCCACAAAGGTGTGTCGAAGCTACGTTACTATGACTTTGTGTATGGACTAGTGTTGCTGTTGTTGGCTAAAACTAAAACGATTAAAAATAGTTTTCCTCTATTGAAATAAAGCTGAAATAAAATACAAAAAAAGGTTTTAGGTTGAAATTAGGTTTACAAAGTTGTATAGAGTTGAAAAATATAAAAAGAACTAAGAAAAAGTACATTAAAATGACTAAAACGCTAAAATTAAAATGAAAACTAAATAAGCTAAGGTAAACTAAAAAAAACTAAATTAAACTAAAAACGAAATAAATAAATATTAAATATTTTAAATATTATTATTAATTTTAAATATTATAATAGTATATAAATAATACTAAAATATCACCGGTATGGATAGAAATTGCCATTTTTGCAGATTTCTTATGCCATTTTTCCTTTCTGATTTATAATAATAATAATAATAATCATCATTTTGGTGGTTGCTAGGGCATTTGGGTGGTTTCCAGGGTGTTGCAATGCAGTTGCTAAGGTATTTTGAATGGTTTTTCTGTTGGCAATGGTATTTCTATGCAATCGATAGAATATTTGATTTACTATGGCATTTTGGGTGGTTTTAACATGGCTCAGGTGCAATCAGATTGAGCCTGTTTTTTTTTTCTTTTTTTTTTTAATTACCCACCCGGCAATTATTGTAAGTCTGATCACTTAAAAAAGTAACTGGGATTGAGAAACCATGAGAACCAGACTTAAACTAACTTGAATTCACATGCGCATAGCTCAAAGTATCAGAGTAAGGATTCTACCACTAAGCCACATCTTGAAATGCATACAAAGCTACTAAGTGTATATAATTGTGATTCCTGGCCAAGTATGATGAAAGATACTAGGAAATATCTTTAACATCTACAGAATACCTTTAAATAAGGAATAGATTCTGACAAAGATATCTAAAATTGTGCATTGCATGTGGCCCAAGAGACAAAGTGGATGAGTGCTGAGGGAGAATGAGGAAGAGAGGAATAAAGAAAAGGACAGAGAAGAACAGGACAAGAGAGAATGAAAGGTGAGAAGAATGAGGAGGGAGGAGAGAACACAAGGTGAGGGAGTATGTTTTCACTGACACGTTGACCTGGTAGCGTGTTGCCTGGAGTCCAATCAGATAAACAGCCTCAAACCAGCAGAGATTAGAGAGTTTTTGAAATCGAAGAAAAGCAAGGGATTAGAGGGAGGGATAGAGGGGGGCAGGAGGGGAGCGGGATTATGGCGCCATGCGAAGACAGGATCAAACATAATCCCTGTGAACACTCAAACCTCCATCTTGGTTACTGGGAGAGCGAGAGTGAGGATTTACCCATCAGTCACCTCATCAGTACATCGTTCCCCAGTACAATGAGTTTATGATCAGTCTGTACACTCTATTCATCAACGGGTCTGTTGCAATGTGTGTGGGTTTTTTTTCTAACGCATTAGTATTATTTGTCAAACATTCTCAGAAAAAAATAAAAGGTACAAGAGTTGTCACTGTAGCGGTACCTTAAAAATGTACACTTTGTATCTAATTTACCCCTAAAGTGTTCATATTGGTACTTTAAAGGTACATATTATTACCTAAAGTGTACATATTTGTTCATAAATGGTACATATTAGTATACTTTCTTAAAAGGTACCACCCCAGTGTTGTACCTTTTTTTCTGAGAGTGTACGATTACATTATTATACTAGATTTTTCTTTAGAAAATGTGAGTAGTTAAGCATGTAAAACTTGACTTGATTGACTTGATACCAGCATGGTGCCAAATGGTTGCTAAGGTGTCCTGGGTGGTTTCTAGGTTGTGGCTATGATGTTCTGGATCGTTGCTATATTCCCAGAAATAAAGGTACAAAAGCTGTCACTGGGGCAGAACCTTTTTAAAAGGTGCTAATACTGTATGTAGGCTACCATTTAGGTGCTAATATGTACACTTTAGATACTACTTTGTATGTTTAAGGTACTAATGTTTTATGTTTAAGGTACCCTTTTGGGGAAAATAATGTGTACCTTTTGAAGGCTTTTGTACCTTTTTTTCTCTCTGAGAGTGTATGTGATTGGTTACGGGCTCAAGTCAAACCATTCCACCTCCACATATCTATGATATTTCGGTTCCTAAATGTGGGGTTCCTCACGTAAGCTATGATTTGAGGTTTCATTCATGTCCAAATCACAAATGGTGCTGGACGAGTTTAATATTTTTGATAGTCTTTACCTTTTTTTCTGAGAGTGTGCAATTACATTATTATACTAGATTTTTCTTTAGAAAATGTGAGTAGTTAAGCACGTAAAACTTATACTGTTTTAACACTGTGTTTAATGCTTTTGATACTAGAACAGACAAATCATTCGCTTCATGGTCTGCTTCTACCAACTAAAAGTGAAAAAGCCGGTCAGTGCCTTCAGAAAGAAAACAGCATGATCGAGACACGGACAAATTGTTTTAGAAAAGCTACCATTTCCATAGGAATAAAACTTGTTAATATTAACAGATTTTTGGGTAGATGATAGATGTTGTGGTTTGTAGACTGTGTTTTAAGGGCTTTTTTTAAAAATGATTTTTAAAAATATTTTATATTTAAACCTAAAGCTTACTGTATCATATTTGATATGCAAATTTCTAAGATATCTGAATTATCAACATGATCAAAACTTTGCTGAAAGTTGTGCATGATCTTCCACATTATATCTGTCATCTGATTGATAGTTCATTCTTTTTTAGCAAATGAAATGCCTTTTAATAGGCTATAATTGTAAAAACGTCCACTTTTAGCTTGTGGTTCATCTGTCTTACTGCTGTGAAATCTATACTGATTTTTATAATGTAAACATAAGAATAACTTTTATATTGTTTGTAATATTTCAAGATATAGAACACTTACTTGATTCAAGAAACTTAAATTATGTTAAAATGTGAGTATCAAACATGAACCATCAGGCTTTTGAGGAGTGTTTATTTGTTCATCTGTCAGCCATTGTGTTGCATTGCATTATGTTTTGCCCCCATAGTAAAAACTACAGAGCTTTGATCATAAAACTAAGCATTTAAATGTAATCTTACTAAGACATATTATTAGGAAATATAGAGCGACAACTTGCATTTATATGCATTTCATGTAAATACTCTGCTATTCTGTTATAAAGATTTACGTTACAAGCTAACTTCATCTTACTTTTTGGTCATACAAATACAGTAAGAGCCATAAAAGCCAATATTATTATTATTATAATTATTAGCAAATTATTATTATGATTATTTTCTATACCCACTGTATATTCTGTCTCACTGTTTCTACAGATCAAACCCGTTGTAGCGATTGGATTGACTCAATGGATTGACCCTACCCCCATCCTTTGCTAACTGCGTTTGCATAGTTTAGGGTCAGAATGTCAAGGCTGTTGCTATTAGTTACCGAACACGCATGAGGGAACACTTGTAGAAAATCGAAAGAACTTAACAAGGCAAAAGATGTTCCAATAAACATCTTTTATATCGACGTTATCATCCATAACGTGTTTCATCAGGAATAAAACTCTTTGGCTGTTATGTTATGGGTGGAATTCTGCAAGCGTGATGTTTATTGCATGAGAGAGACAGATATGAGCGGATGAGAGGAGAGATGAAAGATAGATAGTAGCAGGGGGCGCAGCAGGCCAGTCTGCTGAACGAATAGAAATAAACAGGACAGGGAGCCGCATTGAATGCTGTGTGCTCTCTGGTTGTTCCACTAACCTACTTACTGTAATCTTCTCTCTGTGTTTCATAAGAGCCCTGCCAAAGAATTGCATCACCAAGCTTTTCCACACACAGTCACTCTCTTCTCATCATTGCCATTTAGGATTTTGAAAGGTGCACAGATCAAATGCACATGGAGGCGCATGTGGATTTGTGTTTTTCTCTCACATATTGGCTCATTATTTGGTGCCCAGGTGCTTGGATTGTGTTGATAGAACATGGAACACGTGTTTTTGGTTGTCTGAAATGTTAAAATATAATTACTATATCTCCTTTGCAACTATAAGAGTTTGACAATATTTCATTTGAGAAGCTCTAGTCTGACTAAAGGGTTAATGGCCCCCTCAAAAATAAATGAATAATGAATAATTAGTCTGTTCAAGCCTCCAGCAGGCCTCCAAGGATTACATAACCATCTGCCATAACTATTATATGACCAGCTCTCATTTATGCCTTTTGGCTGAGGGATTTCTTCTGCCTGGTTTGATTAATAAAAGGGCCATTTTGCAGAGCAATCCTGTCTTTTTTCCTTTTTCCTTTCTCTTTGGAGTGTTACAAGCTCTTGGTGCATAAAGAAGATCTGTAAAGTTGCAAAGACTAAAGTCTCAAATCCAAAGAGATATTCTTTATAAAAGTTAAGAGTCAGCCACGCCTACCTAAGGCGGCTCGTTCTAACACGCCCCCACATGTCTACGTCACTATGTGGGAAGATTTGCATAACGCCACCCAAATGTTCAAGCAAAGAAAGAAGGCGTAACTTTTATTCTCGCTGTAGTATTGTTGTTGCCGCCGCCATGTCGTGAAGGCGCCGTGTGTTTCGTTGTGAAAGCGAAACTACTTTGTTTGGCCTTCCAAAAGAGGACAATATCTGCTTCATCATGCCTAGAGCTGATCTGTGCTGGTTGCTGAGGAAATACATCAACTTTGCGCTGTGGATCACCGGATCGGCTTTCACCGTGGACGAAGCGGAGTCCAGCCCGGGGTCGTCACATGTGGTTGCCGCAAGCCCTCCGGACGCTCCTTCGTCGAATCCGCCGGCCGCGCCGTTCTCAAGCCCGCCGGCCTCTGCTCACTCTAGCCCTCTGGCGGTTCCTCACTCTAGCCCCCGGCCTCTGCTCACTCTAG